CTACAGGGTTTGAGTACATGTGTATGATCTGTCATATAGAACAGCTATGTGTTTGCTGAACTGCACACAAAGCTGCATTATTTAGCCAGTTGTTGGTGCTATCATTTTTTTTGTTTGAAATATTCCCCGTTGAAAACTGACAGAAGGCCCCATGTCTTTTATATTAAAACTGTCTCTGGGTATTTTGCCGTTTCACCTGGATGTGCATTTTGTATCTGCCATAGGAGCCCCTGTATTGATTCAAACAGATACCAAATGATGAAAGACACCTCTTATCGCTGCACACAGCTCGAAAGCCTTCCAACAGTGTGATCCATATAAGCATATCAACAGCTTCTATGCAGTAAGTGCAAAAAAGCTTAAGAGAAATACACTGACATCGATGGCTTATCAAAATTCAAGGATACAGCATACAATAGGGTGACTTCTTGAAGGCATTGGAAAGTTAAGCAGGTCTTGGTCAGTAAAATGTCAAATGACACAGCATTGCATTTATTCTAAAATCTTTTGTTTGAAATGTCATTAAGCACTACATGAACTCCCCTTTGATGTTGGGGGATTAGTAAGCCCCTGACTTCCAATGCAATTCCCTCCAACACATGTTCTATTATTACACAAACACTTCTCTTCATCTACCTCATCAAGTTTCTAGAATTGATCTTGATGCAGAGATAAGACATAACCGAACATTGAAAATAGACAGCGAAATTAGTCAGAGAAACCGCAATGAACTACAAAAGTCACCAATATATACCCCAGGATCCGCTCCTACAGTGCACTGGTGTAGGTAGTTATAGTAGATGCCCGAATAGAAAGATGGGCCCTGATTAGTCCAGGTGGGGAAATGGCTAAACACTTTCAGATAAAACATGTTCTGAGCAAATATGCCGATAATTCGACTCGGTTGAATTAAACATCACATACTCCTTTCACTGATTCATGTCCACTGTCCACATTCGACTCCAACCCGGGAGTATGGAGCACATAGGACTAGTTCACTGACAGAATCAACTCAATAGACTGGGAGGGGGGGGGGGGGGGGGGGGGGGTCGATCGAGAAGAACTAGGGAGTGTATTGCAGGATGAATAAAAAATGAAAGTGTTGTGCTTCAGTAAAATCGCTCTCTCCATCCCGTGAGGAGGGGGGGGTGCTGGTGGAGTAGAGGCTTGTTTGAAAACTGAATGCTGCATTCCCACATCCACCCATATCCAGCAAGGGGCTCTTTAAAAATTCATTAATTTACAGCAAAAATAGATTAAAGCACCCAGCTGAGCAAAACTCAAAATGTGGCTCCGGAATAACATTAATGATAAAACATCTCCCTCAAGCCTGGAGGGGGGGTGGGGGGGTTGCCTGAAGAAAGAGTACTGGCTTCTTTCACCTTACAGCACCTTGAGAATAATTTATTTTCAATCATTACTAAAATAATGCATTTCTAATTGTCATTTTTAATTACGCTTTTCTTGGGATGGGAAAAAAAAGGGGCAGAGGAGAAACCTGCATAAACTAATTAAAATCCATCCAAGGATCTGCCATTCCCATGATGCCATGCCAATGTCATTCTATTCACCATTTGATATCTCAGCTACAGAGACTCAATGGCAGCTGCTCCAGGCTCCCCAAAAACGCAGAGAACTGCAGTTACAGTAATTGCTCTGGCCAGCACTAAATGAGGTTCACTTAAGTGCAATTATCCCCCTCTGATCTCTCACATAAAGAGACTTCTTTAACATGGAGAAGTGGGCTCACACAATGTGACTGCAAACAAGATTCAAATTGGAATCAGGGAGGCATTTCCAGCAGATGAATGGCTTCATAGCTCATCTGCATTCTAGTGATGCACAGCGTTGCTAATGAAGACTGAGCCAGACCTTTCTCCCCAACACAGCGAGAACAAAACCTCCCACTGGATATAAAAGCACAATGCGGGAAGACATCTCTAACAAATGTGTCCAGTCATTTGGCCTGGGCTGCATTAGAGGTCACCTAGCCTCCATGCAGAGTTAACAGCAGTTGCAAAACAAAAAAAAGATCCAGTGTTGTTTTGCCCAATCCAAGGGGAAAATTCACTTGATGAGGGGCGATGAGGTAAAACGAAAGAAACCCCCCAACCTGAAATAACGCTACATTTCACAGCAGAGAGGAATTGATGCCACTTTGGATTGAGACCAAAAATAATTGTGAAAAAAACTAGAGAGAGGGCTTTGAACAACAGCATCACGGCTACGCATTGCCAAAAAATAGAAATATATATCAGACGTCCTCATGAATAAATTGCCATCTGCCAATGGCTTAACACAATAGGTTTTCAGCCTAAAGGGTTAAGATGTGGCAGGTCTAATAGGGGTTGCTACAGAGAGTACCTGTTGGGTGCAGTCCAACAACACAGGGTGGTGAGGGGGGGGGGCTGTGATGGGCGTTCATATTGCCACAGGCGGAACTACCACCAGGAGTCTGATAACTGCATCTCACGGATGGCCATTTGAATAATCACTTCAACAAGGGGAGAAATTAAAAAAGCCTCTCAGTGAGAAGGGGCTAGGGACCGGGCCACATGCTGAATTCAAAATGAGGAGCTTTTCCAATGTAAAACTGTTCTGAAGTCCCTCTACTATACTAGCACGCTGACCCTTGCCACCCATCCAAATGAGCTTCATATCATGTCACGATTCTATTAAATATATTAATCATACTCTCACCTTACAGACGATGAAAGAGTATTTTTTATTCAGGGACGATAGATGAATGTTCTAACTGGCGCCATACACAAAACACAGGAAGACCTGGAGACAAAGGTGTTTTTAAACCATTAGGCAAAAGACTGCTCAGAGCACTGCAGGCCAAAACCAGCATTAAAGAGAGGCTGCATCACATCCTCCCATCCACACTTTTAAATGGTTACTTACTGTAAGGATAAACAGATGTGTGATCTTCTCTATGCTATATTCTCCACTGTTTAATCCACTAATCCAAACGTTTTTTTAAAGCAGGTGACCCATACAAATGTAAAAAGGTAACACTGTTCAATTTAATTTGATGAGAATAGCACATACTGTAGCCACTACTACAACGGCTTAAAGCGGACCGAAAACATGCCAAATCTAGCCTTTAAGTCAAAACACCTCGAGCCATGATCAAAACTGAATAATTACATAGCTAATGGAATTGAAAGGATGTTATAAGTCTAATGAACAAATTCTAAAAAAAGGTGTGTGGGCCGGTATTTATGTTTCTGCACACAGTATGTAAAGGAAAGCCAGCAGCGGCTTCAGTCCAGGTCTATTGTCTTACAGCCAGGCAGAATACAACAGCAAAATGTCACTTCCGATGTCCACGCCAATTATTCCACTGCAGCGTTTCACATAGTTGTTTCAGTCGACATTATTGCTTGTAAAACACTCTGAATTTCATGATGGCATCAACTATTTAGACATTTCCTGTGAAGGAGCTGGGATGTATTTTCATGTTATACGGAGCTAGGGACCCTGTAATAAAATTCCAATTCATATAAACTGCACGTGGAGCTTTACAGAGAACAGCAGTAGGACAATTCAAAGAATAAGACAGAACAACCAGGTACTAGAAAATAATATATATAAAGCTACTCTGGCTCTGCCTACCTGGACGGGGGAACATGACAACTCAAACACCATGTGTCTTTCTAAAGCTGCATGCACAGATATTCTGATCCAGACAGCTCGCTGTAGGCCTGCTATTTAAAGGATGGGTGATTAAGCAAACCAGGTCTGACCTTTGATTGTGGGAGCTGACTAACGCTATGGGCATTTGTTAGTTGAAGCAAAACGTCTGGCAGGGTTAGGTTATTTTGGGGGAATTCATAACGGTTTGTTTTAGTCATAAATTGAATAAAATTGTGAGTATGATGTGATAATATTCTCAGTCGGTTCAGTCGCTAAAACAACAACGTGACTTCATTGATAAAACTTGCACAATTTGACAGCGGGGCATATTAAGAGTTCAGTCATCCATCGTCTAATAAAGGCCGTTAGGAGACAGCAAGGGCACCGTTTTGTATACAGCTGCACGCAAATGCCACAGCTATTTAGTTTAAAGTCGTAGCGTTAACTAATCAGTGCATCACACACCAACTGGTGAAACATCAAAGCAGAGAGACATGCCCTGAGAGGTGTCTTGCACTGCAGGTCCAAATGTTAAACTGCAACACAGTCTGTACCATCTCAGGGCAATCCACAAGGGTATGCCACCAGAGGCAAAGACACAGTCCGAGGCTACATTCAGTTGCAGACAATTCACCTGAAATATGCTTTGCACTTGTTGATTGTCCAGCCACATGACAGACCTGCGCCTTCTCATAAAGATCGACTTGTTTTCCCTACGAAGATCATTATTTTCTAGAGGAATTTACCAGCCGCCTGAGAAACAGACGATTGACAGACGAGAAAACACACTGCAACAGCTGTGAGTCAAATACCATCAGAGCATGCAGGAAAGGCAAATGACACTAGGTTTATACACACAGTCAGTCACACAGTCACACAAACAAAAAAAGCTAGCTAACGATAGCTGTTGGAGGGCTGAGATAGGTCATTATATCCACCTATTGCGAGGGGAAAACACACGCACACACCTAGTCCTGGCCCAGGAGAAAACACCGACAACGCTCAGCTAAAGTTAGCTGGCTACCAAAACTGGCTAGCTAGCTGTCAAAGTTGCCCTGTCAGTTGTCACCGGTTGCACGGCGGTGCTAGCAACGGGCTAACGCCAGAGCTGTCAACTTGGAGAGTTACATCAACACGGCCGGGGTATACTAACACTGACCACGGGGAAACACGGAATGCCTCTCTGAGAAAAAAGGTGTCCCCCGCACCGCACGCCCCGCCACGGCGAGCGGAAAGCCGTGTGCCAAGGCCTGTTCCCCGGGCTCAATCCCCACAACTTCAGTGCAGCTCACTTCCCCGCTAAAGTCGTCCATTTCGTGGGCCTTAGTTCAACTTCCATGCCCGTGTAGCTCACTTACTCTGGGTGAAAGCTTGCTGTGACGGCGGCTGTCTGTTAAATCCTGTCGGTAGTTTGAGAGTAACTGCCCCCTCCCCTTCCTTCCACCTCCTCTTCTTCTTCAGCTCGCAGGGGCTCCCCAGGAGGGTCCTGTGTTCTTGACGTTACCGTCCTGTGCAAAAGAAGCGCTGTAGCCTTAGCTTCACCGGTGAGCCCGCGGTGCCGTGGTGTCCCTCTTCAGCTACTCTCCGCCTTCTCCCGTTCGCCTTTCTCTCGGCGGCCGAGCCAACATCCGGGACTCTCCCCCCCGTTTGGTAAGTGCCCGGAACTACTTTCCCATACGACGACGCACATGAAGGTTTATTTTCTCCCTCTCTAACCACCCCTGCCGCCACAGAAACTAGCGCGCGGTGTACGCACGAGCCCCAGACAGTGTTGTAAAGTAACTATGTAGATGTACTAATCTACTGTAATTAAGTACAAATCTGAGGTACTACTACTTTACTTTGGTATTTCAATTGTTTTGCTACTTTGTACTCCTGCCCCACTATAAATTAAGAGGCAAATAGTGTACTATTGCCTTTTGTTACTTTGTAGATATGGATCAATGATTAAAAAACAAACAAACACTTAAATAAAACTTGAGTTACACCTATATTAAACTCACATGTTATAATTAAAAATGGTTCCACTTTAACAAGCTTGATAAAAACATTAATACATTAAAAAAAACAAAAAACATATATGAATCTGAAATGGGCCAATCTGCATAATGAGTACTTTTACTTTTGGAACTTTAAGTACATTTAGATGCCAACACTTTAGTACTTTTACTTGAGTAACATTTTGAATGCAGGACTTTTATCTGTAACAGAGTAATCATACACTTAAGTATAGTACAAGATCTGACAACTTGTTCCACCAAACACGCGATTGTCTAGGAAGTACTCAGATATATAAGCAATAGTGATATCAAAGTCTATAAATACTTAGTTAGTTAGTTATTTCAGACTTATTTAATATAATTGGATTATAATTATTGAATCCCTTTATTGTAATCGACGGTGAACGAAAGTTACTGTATGTATACTGCTTTGTAGAATATATTATGATAGACACTACATTATAAGTTGATTTGTAATTTATTAGCAAAGGAGTAGAAAGTACATTATTTGCTTCAGAGATGTTATGGAGTAGAATTATAAAATAGCAGCAATTTCAAATAATCAATAGGCAAAATTTCAAGTGCCTCAAAATTATATTTCAGGACTCAAGTAAATGTACTAGGTTGCACTTCACCAGATCCTATCAATAAATCTATTGATTAAAAAAAACGCTTTATTTAAAGGAGCATTGTAACTTATATCCCAACACGGTTAATATCTTAGGACATAACCTTTTTAATAAAGAAGGAAGAAGCACCCAAATTGTTAAAACAATGTTACAGAATATAGGCAAAGAAGTCCACATGGGGGCCACTGTGCAGTGAGTCACCTCTTATAAAAGGTTTTACAAGTTATAATTAAAGGCTAATAAATCATTTAAATGTTCCAGTTACAAGCCAGGAGAACTTTTGGGTTGTCAGGTTTGTTAAAAAGTTCTGTGACTGGTGTCCTTCATGGTACAATGCATATTAAAGTGTATTAGATGATGTTAAAATAGTAATATGTTACTTGAGGTGCTCACACTTTGTAAGTGAAATTGAAGTCTGCAGTTATACGTGTAAGAGTCATGGTGACTATCTGATCATGGGTTTTTTTCTTTCTTGATAATATAATTCTAGCCTTAATCTAACAACCAAAATCTTTGTGAACCACTGTGGTTTTTCTGATTAAATAAAAGACATGCTCCACTGGCAGATAAACAGCTTAGAAGGATTTATTTTTAATTTGACCACCTGGCTACTTAAAAGGTTGTCCCTCTATAATCTATTTAATTGATCTGTCATTAGTGAAATCTTAGTTCGTTGACCACTTATACATCTATTAGTAATAACTTACAAACCTTTTAATAACGGGTATTATCTTAAAGTTGTACAGATAATAAAAAACATATACAGAAGCTGATAAAGGATTAAGTATTCTAGTCCATGATCTAAAAAGATCTCTAAACTACGCCATCCACTAAATGCAGTTTGAAAAAATGTCCTAAGTTATTTTATTGCCTAAAAACAAAAACAATTAATTCAATAAGTGATATTTCCCTCACCATGTCTAACTCTTTATTGAACAGTGGAAACTGAATTCAAGGTAACTTAATATACCTCTACATTGCCGGATTAAAAACATATATTTTTGTCAAGGATATGACCATCCTTAATGTCCTCACTGGACAGTGAGGTCTAGTGAGATCTAGTGAGGTCATGCTGACCTGTCTTCATTTTGTAGTTTTATCTCCTATAATAGAGTTACAGCTTTTATTTTATATGTTCAGTTAAATTATCAATTTTGAATACTAGTAGGATATCTGCTGTATAAAATATGAAGTTAAATTAAAGTAGCAGGGACGATGGATGTGTTATCTCTATTTATAGCCAATTTATCTTTGTAGATTCATTTATATTCTACAATCTTGTCTTTTCGTATTTATTGACTTTTGGCCATTTTGTATTTTACCGTGGTGATTTTGTTTTTATAAAAGTAAACATGCATGTCCACAAATTGAGTGGAATCTAATCCAGTTAGTGGACAACATCAATCTAAGCATTAAAGAAAGCAGCCATGCTTAAGTGATGTGATCGACTCTTCAGCAGGGCAACAGCGCCTCCTGTGGGTCATTCAGGGAGCCCACAGCATTTATTTGCTCAAATTAAATTATAAAACACATTTCGACCTTTTATGTAGCCTCTCTAGTGGGGACATGTTTCATCGTGTAAGGTAAGTCATGCATTCAAAATCTTACTTAAGTAAAAGTGTTATCAGCAAAATGTACTTAACGTCTAAAGAGTAAAAGTAATTATTGTGCCGAAAATATATATTTCTAGTGACATTTAGATAATATTGTTGCATCAAGGAGCATTTTACTGTTGTAGTCAAACAAAGTTCTGGTTTGCTTTTTTCGTAATCATTTGACTATTTTTCCCTTTACGTTTCTTTTATTATCTTTTTTTTTTTTAAATGCCTTTGTCTGAATGTCTTTCATTTTTGTAAAGCACCTTGAATTGCCTTGTGTTGAAAGGTGCTATATAAATAAACTTGCCTTGCCTTTACAGTTCCTCATTATTGTACTTAAGTATAGTACTGGTGTAAATGTACTTAGTTACTTCCCACCTCTGGTTACAAGTCATATCCAGAATAAAACTAAATATAGGCCAAAGACATAAAAAAGAAAAAGGCCTAAATTAAAATGCCGCATGACAACCAAATAGGCATCTAATTATTTGGTATAAAACAAGAGTATGAATCTACAATATTGGACTATTGGCAAGAAGAAAGAAGTCTTACTGCATTTCATTTGTGTAACTGTAATTATAGATGTGAGTCTTGAGTGATACTATAGAACTGTTCTAAAAAACTGATTTCCATAATACAAAACTTATCATAAATATAAAACAACCAGATCAGCAGCAACACTTCAAGATGTGTGTTGCCATAATGAAACTCACTGACTCAGAGGGTTAGTCAAGGTGAACAGATCCGCTTTAAGAGAAATCCCTCTCTACCCCATGGGAGTCTGTGTGTTGGTGATGTTAATTAATTAAGAGTAACACCTCATTGAAAGTGAGAATAGTAATTGACGCACGAGTCGACACCATTTAACCTGCGTGGATGCAGTGCCGTTTACGGCCACTGGGGGCGCTGAAGGTTTTCTTCTCTGTTTTATTAAGAGCAACCAAATCAGCTCAGTGGTTTCAGGAAGTGCAGAAGTTTTTGTGAAGCTGACTGACATCAACCTCGGAATCGAAAGTAGGGCATTTCGCAGTTTAGTGAGTATATTGTGGTAAAGCAAATGTGTTTTTTTATCAAGGCTGTTGTCACGGTGGCAAATTACTGTCTAATAGCAAGCAGCTCAGCGGTGTGCAGCGTGTGTAAAATGTCTCACCACCTGTCATATTACTGATCATTTGCCGATACAATTCAGAAAACCTTGAATAGGCTGTGTGTCCTTCTGTGAATGAGCCGCCAGACGTTCTTATTATACATCCATGCGCCAGACGGTCAAGGTTCACCTGATAAGTTTACTGAATGTAGCATTTATGCATACTGTGATCAGATGTGGAAGAAATATTCAGGTCCTTTGCTTTAGTAAAATGACTAATAGCCTACTAATCTCTGAAATTACTCCACAAAAAGTCCTGTATTATTCCTGTACACTACTTTACTATTGCACAAGTTTAATAACACAATCCAACTTTTAAAGCATGGCATTTAATTCCTGAATCTGCCAGTGGGACATCAATTTAACAGTAAGTTATGTTCATTCTACCAGTGGTGTAAACTAACTAAGTCCATTTACTCATGTAGTGTACTTAAGTACAATTTTGAGGTACTTGTACTTTATTTGATTATCTCCCATTTCTGTTTCTTTGTACTTCTACTCCACTACAATTAGTGCTAAATGGTGTACTTTTACTCCAATACATGTATTTAATACCTTTAGTTACTTTGCAGATTTTGATTATGGATTTAAAACATAATCGACGATTAAATAAGACTTTAGTTACACCTGGAGTAAATTCACAAACTATAAAATAATACAAAGTAGTTCCACCTTTACCAGCTTTGATAACAATTTAATGCATCAGTAATTATAATGGTAACAAATAATATTTAATATTCAGAAAGGGACCAATTTGCATAATGAGTACTTTTACTTTTGGTACTTTAAGTATATTCTGATGCTAACACTTTTGTTCTTTTACTTTAATAGGAAGGCAAAACGGATGTTAATATCCAAAAGTTCCCCATTAAACACAGACCTAAAATAAACCTTCCTGACTGATCACAACTCTATTCTTTACATTACATGTCATTTGTTAGACGCCTTTATCCAAAGTGACTTACATACATTCACTACTGTGGACAATCCCCAGAGGAGCAATTTGGGGTGAAGTGTCTTGCCCAGGGACACAACGACATGCTGACTGCAATGGGACTCAAACTTGCTATCCCCTGATTCAAAGTCCAGCACACTCTCCACTGAGCCACAGCCTCCCATCCTCCTATTCTAAATCCTCTTTCCTGATGATCGAGGATGATCCTTTTATTTTGTCAGTTCAAGTCTGATTTTGTTTGCATCACAGCAGCTCCATTTTCAACATCAACGACAAACCTTGAAATAACATTCAACATTAAAATCCCTATGATGCCCTCTCTCTCATCAGGTGATGGCTAATCCCAGAGAATCTTCCATCGATGGGAAGTTGGCAGAAGAATTTGCCGTCCCCTGCCATGTTGATGAGGTTAAAGAGAAGATGGCTGCTTTCGCCAGTCTACACGCTGCAGCGGGTCGCAGAGTGGTTCTCATCACATCAGGAGGAACCAAAGTTCCCCTTGAGTCCCGCACCGTCCGCTTCCTAGATAACTTCAGCAGTGGCAGGCGAGGAGCCTCTTCAGCGGAGTATTTCATGGACTCAGGCTACGCAGTCATCTTCCTGCACAGGCATCGCTCCCTCTACCCCTACACACGGGTGTTCTCTAACATTAATATGCTGGATGCCCTGATGTTCAGAGGGGAAGAAGAAGCTTCCTCTGGTGAAGTGGTGGTTAACCAGCAGGTGCTTCCCAACATTGCTAAAGCACTGAAGAGATACCAGGAAGTGAAAGAAGGCAACCTCCTTCTGCCAATCGAGTTCAGCACTCTGTCAGAGTATCTGCATCTTCTTAAAGCAGCAGCACAGGCACTCAGCGCTATAGGTACAGATGAACAACTTACTACAGGTTGAATGTGTGGCTTTTGTCAAGCGTATTGCTCATAACTCCCTATTCTGCACATAGGACCAATGGCCATGTTTTACTTGGCTGCAGCTGTGTCAGATTTCTATATCCCAGCATCTGAGATGCCCGAACACAAAATCCAGTCTTCCAATGGACCTCTTCAAGTAGGTGAAAAAACATTCCAAACTTTCTTTCCAGCCTTGCAAGAATCACGACTCAAGGGGTGGCAATGTCTGTTTGTAAATTAAGCTCCAATCCTCTCTGTGGCTAAGAACAGCCTAAAAGCTGCTAGCATGGTTGTTCTGTGACATTCTTTAAGAATAACCCCCCAAAGTAAGTCTCCAAAGTAAATAGAATGGCATGTACCAACAGAAAATCTATATCAAAACATCCGACTACATGCACACCGTTGTAAAACACATGCATTTTTGTGAATGTGGAAGTGTTTTAAAATAGTATGTTTGTAAAGTTGTGAGCATATGACTAGATCAATTATTTGGATGCAAGACTTGAGTTTGTAAACAGATGTTTTTATATAGTTTTGCTGTTGCTGAAAACATCCTGGTTCATCCAGCCAGATTTGTCCTCCTTTTCACACTTTTTTTAATCAAGAATAGAAGATAGCACAAGGTTACCTTTTTGTGTGTGAAGTATTCCTTTACCTGGTAGTTAATGACAATATACTTTTTCTTTCTCCCCTTCAGCTCAGTTTGAACATGGTACCTAAGATACTGTCCCCGCTGGTGAAAGACTGGGCCCCTCAGGCTTTTGTCATTTCTTTTAAGCTGGAGACAGATGCATCCATCCTGCTGGACAAGGCTCGCCGGGCTCTGGACACCTACAGGCATCAGGCGGTGGTGGCCAACGTGCTGGACTCCAGACGGGGCTATGTGGTGGTGGTGACCCCCGAGACCCAGGCTGAGCTGATCATCTCAGAGGAGGATGCCAAGAATGAGGTGGAGATAGAGGAGAGGATAGTGAGCAACCTGACGTCAGCTCACGAGAAGTTCATAACTCAACAAGGGGGCTGACAGAAATCATCCATACTGCACGCCTGAGTCATGAGTTGTTGTCTGTTCGCTCACTCGTTCCTGAGCTCGGCTTGAATAAATACTTTAATCATATTGATAATATAACTTTAAACACATCCTGCCTTCATGACCTTTCTAATGTACTCTAAAAAAACATCATCCAAGCTTTGATGACTGTTTCTGTACAATGACAAAACACAAGTTAATGAAAGTTTATTAAATGTTTATTCACATTGTGCAATGAACTAGAAACAAAGTAATGTTATTGCCTTTTCTACACAAGGGACTGACGGTTGAATAATTCAGTGACATGCTTTACTACAAATCTATAATAAAAATCAACAAGTTTAATCCATTGGTATTTTTTTTCAACCCCCCGGCTCCACGTATTGGACTCTTGTTTGGTTACTTAAGTTTGACGCTCTTCTTGACGCCAGCACGAATACCAGAGCGCTCTCCACTGTATCTCGTCTCCTCCCGACGAACCTCTCGGACCTGGGGAAATTGAACGACCTTGTCAACTGCTGAATTGGTTTTTCAACCTATACTCTGGATTCAAACTGATGAGCCTGCAGTCCTCAGAAGCTTCATGATGCACTGAAACAGTGTAATAAAAATGTATGGAATACAAACCTGGCCCTTTCTGCGGATCTTGGCCCGTCTGAACTTCTCTCTGTGCTTGACTCTGGGATTACGGTCAATCTTCTTCCTCTTTGGTGTGAGCCCCTTGTTCTTCGACATCTGTGAAATTGGAAGAGTTACATAATTAGAATAACTGAACAGAAATGACAAAGTTTAAAGTGGCAACAGACAACTTCTCCCCCGTAAAACTTCAAAAAGGGTACTATTGTTGGCGCCACTGTCGCAACCAAAATCCCTTTCCACTCAAACACCGGACACACTGCGTTCAGTTGTTCACAAATTTGTGCAGTAAATAAAGCTGTACCTGGTGTCACTGTTTTATAGCTTTCAATTATGCAATCTAATTTCATAATGATAAGTTAAAGTAACTCAAAATGAAATGGATTAAGTGATCACGGTGTAAGGGGCACCAAATATTAAAAAAGTTTTATAAGCATCTCTGATGTACTTGTTACTTCCCTGTACCAAAGATCTATAAAAACACATGTTACCCTCTTTAATTTGTCTTCAAACACTGAGAATGAAATTGTCTAGAGAGACAAGACATGCACTGCCGTAGCAGTAAAACTAAATACGATTTATTTGATGTAAACATTTAAAAAAAAATGTATTCAGCTTTGTTATTCAAGAATGAAAAAGTCCAACTTCCAGGAGTATAGCTTGCTTTATGTCTAAGTAACTGTCAGGATCCCTTTGCCTGCTCTGAAGGTGTTCTGATAGATCTGTTATATTATTAATATGAACTTCCAGGTGAGTGTCTGACTAGCTATTAATACTTCAGAGTGCTAGTGGTTGTAACACTGTACCTGGTAAGTAATGCCTCTCTTAGCATCTGGATCTTCCTCCATATATTCCTTCTCCTCCAACCTGCAACAAATTCACATTGATCAGATACAGAGTTGATCTTGTCCAAACAGCCATTTTAAAGACTCAAATCAAACTTACTCTTCTGTTTCTGGTTCTTCGACCTTTCTCTTCAATTTCGAACGCTCCTCCGCATCTCTGTAGAAACGCAGAGCCGCTTCCTCGTCCATATCAGAGTCAGAGTCATCCTCCACCCCAGGCATAGGCTCTTCAGAATCCTGCAAACAACGTGTTCTCATTACCATTCAATAGTCATACAAAACATCAGCAGTGGATCTACATCGAGGATGCCCTTCAGTTTATACAATAGCGTTACAAAACGAACACAAAGATCTCACCGTTCCCTTCTTATTGGAGACTTTGGCCTTCTTGCCCTGTGCAGGTTTGCTGGATTTATCTTTCTCCTCCCCAGCTAGCAGCTTGCGAAACTGCGGTGCAAGCCGAGCATCCACTGAACTGAGTTCATTGATGAGCTGCAGGAAGGTATTCAGGCGTTAGACACAGAGTTCTAATAGTCATTTCTGGCATTTTCAAACGACAGTAGCATCAAAACATGACACACTAAAGGAAGCGGCTCTAGATAGATAGATTGATCGGTCGATAGATAGATAGATTGATCGGTCGATAGATAGATAGGTATGTAGGTAGGTAGGTCGACCGATAGGTAGGTAGGTCGACCGATAGGTAGGTAGGTCGACCGACAGGTAGGTAGGTAGGTAGGTAGAAACTTTATTGATCCCAATTTGGGAAATGTTTGCATTGCAGTAGCATAAAAAACACAAGGAAATGTACATAAGAGAAACTAAGACAGTCCAATATATTTCAGAAATAGCAAGAAAAAAAATATATACACGTGGAAAATATACAAAAATAAATAAATATACATGTGAAAATACAAAATTCAAGTAACAAATATAATGCTTTATAAAGTAAAAGAGAAAATGTACAGTTTCCTTGACATATAGAATGAAACCACAATCGCTAATACTACTTTACTAATGCTATGTTCCCCTGGCAACAGGTGTCACTGTGTGCACTCACATTTCTGAAGATGAGCAGTCTTTCAATCACAGGATGGTTATGAGCAGGGATTCGCTTTGCTTTCAGCACCATGTAGAAACTGATGTTCGTGCAGTAACTGCAGCAGGAAAGAATAATTAGCCACTAATTAAAAAACTTTGACATGATCTAATAACAAGCAATAATAATTGATTCACAACTAACTTGAGATACAGCTGCTGTTTTGTCTTGAGGTAGTCAGCACCCTTTGGAAAAAAGCACAAAAATTGGTTAGGAATTGATTGCCTGAGCTACATGACAGTATTATTATGTGGTTTGGTACTTCTGAAGACATATGGACATTAGATGCTTACAAAACAGACACCAATCATCATAAAATATAACAGTAGCCATCCCATCTAATGATCAATCCAGTTGCAGCTATTTAAAGAACCTAATCAGAGCCACGGTTGATTTCAATGTGGATTCTCATACAGCCAAATGTTAATGTGCTCACCTTTCCTGGGGGGATCTTTCCATCCTTGACCATCTGTACAAGAGGCTGCAGCTCGTCTTTCAGCTCATTTAGCTGCACACATACAAAATACTTCACATCAATAACATGTTGGGTTGTGGTAACTATGCAAGTATCTTTTGGCTTATTAAAGCTCAGGTTTTTGTTGGGAAAATACTGAATGTACTCTTTGAATATCAGAGTAGCACATAACAAAGGCCCTATGTAGATGTGTACGTAACAGGATGTATGATTACATAGATGACGCTCATGAGATACTGTGTTTTACATACGATAGCTATATTCCTGCGATTAACATGATGACACAGCCCCTAGGGAGATAGGCATAAGACTGTCATGTGTATTGCTTACTGAGGCCTTAGATAATCTGAACTAATGCCAGAATACTGCTTTGAACCGGTATTCTGCATCTTGTGACTAATGGCGCATTTCCACTACAGCGCGGTTTAAGCGTGCCGTTTCCGGCCCGTTTTTGGTTGCGTTCCGGCTAGCGGGTAATTTTTCAGTTTTACTGGCTCTCCAAAATCGAGGTTCTTTCCGGGCCAACAACCGGGCTGAGTATGCTAAACTAGTGAGAGACTTGCTGGCAACTACAACAAAATGAACATATTTTACCGTGATTTAATTGTAATACACGTTTCAAAATGATGCCGAAGTAACAACATACTGATACCGGTTAGTAAAAACCATGAATTAATGCTTTGACAAGTCTGCAGACAGACGGCAGGAGAAAAACCTTATAAAATGCGTGTTTTCTGAATGGAGATCGGCTAAGCTAACGCAGTATATGCTTTGACCATCCACACTCACAACAACGGCCTATACAGACATAAATAAACCAGGGACTGTATTCACCATGACACAGACAGTCTGTGGTTTGTACTTGATTAACTTTTGTCTAGTTTCTGAACAGATATGAGGAGCTGTGAGCTCTGAGGGCTAACAGCTAACGGCTGATGTTGGTTTTGTGTTTCGTATTGAAGATGACGTCTCGGCTCCGCCTACACTGCGTTACTATAGTTACTACCCCAGTTCCTAAACTGTGATGGAAACGCAGCATAAATTGAGCCTGGTCTACCAAGGCCTAACTATACCGTACTAAGACGTGCGAGGCTCTGCAGTGGAAATACGCCATAACACTCTCTTGTATATAAGCATGTCAAGGACACTGTTCGGGGAACTATTTTGCCCCATGCAGCTTTGTGATCACTACTTCCTTTCTTGCAGGATAATAGATACACGTGTCTTGATATTGAAGATCAAGCCGGTGACGAGTGATATTTCTCTAACAGTTTTTAACACATTGGTTTTGGTTGAATGCCTGTGTTTTACCTTTGCTTTGAAATCCTGAATAAGTTCAAGCAGCTCTGGTGACTCCTTTTTCAAAAGTTTCATTTTCTCTTTCTGGGACATTTGCTTCAGATCTTTGACAATCCTTTCTTGTTTTCCCGCAGTCTTGTCATCATCCTTCTCCTCCACAGCAAATTCCTTCATTTAAACGAATCAAACAATCACAATTAAAAACATTTTCTATAATTTTTCATTTACCAAAATGGTGTACCAAAGAGAATAACAAAGTACCTGGAAGAAGTTTAAATCATAATCCTCCTCGCTCAGATTTGCAGCTAAACGTTTTTGGATATTTTTAGCTTCTTCTTCTTCCTCTTTTTCCTCAGCTTCCAGCTCATCCTGCTTTTTACCCTCTGTAATAACACAAATACATTTTTGTTCAATATTAGCCATTTAGAAAACCAGAATTACCCGGATAATATTGGTGGAGATAAAAGATGCTTACTGGTGGCCCCATAGTCAGAGTCATAGAACATCTTCTTCTTGGTGCCCCATGCCATTTCATTAGGAAGATCTGAGGAAGACAGCAAGGTTAAAGTTAAATAGGCTTGTTTATATACAGTAGGGCAAAACCCTTCACAAAAAAAGATAGATTGTATATTTACCGTCTTCTTTTTTCTCCTCGAGATCACTTTCCATATCTGTCCCCTCCTCTTCCTCTTCTCCCTCCTCATCATCTGACTCCGAATCATCCAGGGCCATCACTTCCTCCTGTGAAATTCAGATGAGCTTGAATTGGTTCTTAATTTACATTGATTTAAGAATATAAATCCCAGCAAACACATAAGTCCTTACCTCCTCATCAATGTCCTCCTGGTCGCTCTCCATTTGAACACCGCTGGCAAGAAGTTTCTGTGACAAAGAAAAAACGCAGCAAAACAAATATATATAAGAGAACGTAAACACAGCAACATCCGCATACTGAAGAACTACTAATGAGGAGGACTTACTGCAATCTTGTCATCATGAAACTCGTCAATTTTGTCCTTTGCGTACTGTGAGGATTTCTGAAAGGAAGAGGGAAGACATTCAAATATGACGTTAAAATAATCTACAACATCAAAACAGAGTTGATGTAGGAAAGTTTGTTGATGGTTAAGGATGGGTACCGAGCCCCGGTATTAAACGGGCCCCAGGGCTGAATTATTAAAGACCGTGGTAACGTTAAGCTCCGACATTATTGGTCTTTTTATCGGTACTGGAGACATGTAAAACATATATGTCATATGTATTATGCTACACAAACATTGTATTGCAGTGTTAGTGTCGCCAACTCCGTTTCTAATACGCAAAAAGACTGCAAAATGCGTCTATGATTATTTTTTGTATTTTCGATCTTTCCAATCCAGTCGAGAGATCTCTCTCTCCTGTCTGTGTGCGAGGGGGTGGGGCAGTTTACACACACGTGGCTGCTACATGCAGAAACACACACACGGAGGAGATGGCGGAGAGACCGCGCTCCGAGGTGTGGTTAAACTTTACCCGTCTCGATGTGGACAATCAGGGCCGCCCCTGGCCAACTTGGGGCCCCAAGCGACATTGTGAGATGAGGCCCCCCCCAACCGACAGGAGTGAAAATTTTTTTTTGTGAAACAAAGTAGGCTACTTTGCAAATATAATTCCTGTTTATTATTATTATCAACACAGTTACTTTTTTATGCAGTGAGGTAAATGGTAAATATGCATTTATGTCGTTCAGTATGCATTTACAGGTGAATACGTCTGCATTTCCTGCCAAATACTAGCCTCAAAAAGTTTAAAATATAATTAATGCAAATANTATCAGTTTTTGAGCATGTAATAAGCATGTTTTGTCTTGACCATATTACAACTATATTATACTAATATAATATAGTATTTATATTATTGAATTGATTATGATTATTAGTAGAAGTAGTTTATTTGCATTAATTATATTTTAAACTTTTTGAGGCTAGTATTNGAAATAAGGTAAACTAAATAAATTGTGAACAAAAATAACATTGCTTTTTATTTAAATTAAATACATAATATTTCACATCAAAAGGAACAACAATGTTTTTAAAACATTGTTGTTCCTTTTGATGTGAAATATTATGTATTTAATTTAAATAAAAAGCAATGTTATTTTTGTTCACAATTTATTTAGTTTACCTTATTTCTTTCTCCAAAAGAACCGATAAAAGTACCGTTAAAAGACCGGATCGATAAAAGTAGTAGTACCGTTAAAACCTTAACGATGCCCATCCCTAGTTAAGAGTTACGTGATTGATGTACAAGATATATATCACCAGTGTCTGGTTATTACAAGAAGATAACAGTATTATAGAAACATTTTCTAAATGTTGTCAGTTTAGCCTCCATTGCAAACATTTTTATTATTTGAAATCTAGCCACATCTAGTTTATATTTAATACTGTAGATCAATACCAACAATCAAAAGCTTTTCTGAAACTCAAGTGACGATTACAAAATATCAC